ATTAAGAGTCTGCCTTATATTGTCTATTTCAAATCCTGATATACAGTTTGGTTATAACATAAGACTTATCAGTTTCCCGACCATTTATGTTTTGGTGCTATTGTCTTGTAGTTAAAAAAAAGGTCTCACACGAATTATTTCTCGCTTGGTGGGACTGCGTAAGACTATAAAAGGAAGGACATAAGCTCTCTTTACCCCTGCTTCTTCTAGAATTCGGTACGTAGAAGACTTCTCCACAGCCCTGTCCTCGCTTTCCAGTTTCGATCGGGTACTAAAAGCGACCCCGTATCCTTGCGTGTGACAAATTATTTTCCACCCTGCAACGCCTCTCTCACAGATGAAATTTTGCAAGTCTCTGACAGCTCTATTGCTACTACCATGGAAAGTGCTCAGACGAGCTATATTCCTTAGTTACACCAGTTCTAACTTTCACGCCTAGGACCTATCATGCTATACGCACTGAAGCGAACCAAACTCATTCTCTCCGTATTCCATTGGTAAGAAGTAAGTTCTAATCGAGAAGCTTCTTCCCCAAAACATGTAATGAATGAGAATGATTTCCCGATCACTACAATCTTAACGTCTTCATGTCTTGATTTAAAGGCTATATTACCCATATATCCACGTAAAATATGCCTCTTAAACTATAAGCCTCTAGCTCAAGTGCATCTCGAGCCTTGTACATCATGAACCTTACTGTAATAAATTCTGATGGGCGGTGATATTCTCAATGAAGCTTTTTTCCTTTTGGGTTTAAATCTCACTGAAGCCATCAGTTGGGACCTGTGTATTCGTGTCATCGCTAAAGATGTTGAATGAATGGTCGGATGTTTGTATCGCTCCAGAAAATATCCAACGCCCCCTAATGTGATCTATCTTTACATGAATCAGTTCAGAACAAGAATATAGAATATTACTGCCGGGTCGCCACTGTGCCGCTTTGACAGAGTTCAAAAGCATTTATGAAGCCTTCTGGTTGATGAATTATTCGCCAACTTACAACACCTTCCCCATAGACAAAGGCTTTCTAACCTCTCACTACTCTATCTCGATTACTATGGCAAATCTTCAAAAGAATTATATTCCTTAGTTTCACAAGTTCACGTTAAGAAATCATTCCCTTCGTGTCCAACATAAGAAGCGATTCCACTCATAGAGATTCTTCAAAAAAAGTGTTACTTGTTGTGCAACAGACTCCCAAGCGGATGCTACCTCGACCACTGTAATCTTAACTTCTTCCAGCATCATACTATGCACTTCTTACTTCCTCTGTTCTTGTACAGTGTGAACCTCACTGTAATAAAAAGAGAAAGCTTCCCGTTTGTTACCCAGCCAAGTGTTGCATCTCACAAACGTACGCACTCACAACTCACCGCTAATTCCATAAATGTTTTTTCTTCTTTCTTCCAGCTGTGTACACACAAGTAGATCTTCTCTCTTGTTGGATTTAAATTATTTTTTCATGTTCAAATTCCCTTTGAAAATTTTACATTCTATTTCTTTAAATTCTCAAGCACAATCTCATCCAGTACAAACAATTATCATCTCTGCGCGGCATATTACATTACTTTCTGCGTGAAATCGGGGTATCTTAACGTTATAGCATCTCGACTTCACTCATTTTCCAACCAGCCATCTGGCTTCCCTGTACTTTTTCTATAAATATTTCTATGGCAATTATTTAATGGGATTTCCTCTTTTTTTACCTCTACTGCATGAAGGATCCCCGAGTTTAAGCAAAGTTGAGTCTGACCAGTACCTAGAGGGGTGAACGCTTAGGAATACCATGTGCTGTAAGCTTAAATGTGCGAGTGGTGTAATGGATAATGGTTCGGGATTGTTCGCCTGAGAGCCGAGTTTCAATTCCAGCTGGGTTAGTTATATTCACTTACGCACAGATACCATTGGGAAAGGCATGAATCCACCTCTTCTCCCCCAGCTTTGGGTTAATTAGCAAAACTTTAAATCATTATTATCTTGCCCCCCCCCATTCCCTCCAAAAGTATTCTTACAATCTAAAAAATATTTTCCGGCTTTCAAATGTTTGATAAGTTGTAGAAAACGAATCAACCAGTTGACTGCATGAATTTAAGAGTATGATTAGATTATCAACGAGATTTCATCGTTTTAGTGTTAGAATAGGTAAATGTTAGGCAGGTAGCCGTTAGAATGTTCGCATTCTGACCATGAGACCCGGGTTCGAATCTCGTCATGGTCGATTTGTCAGCAAGAAGACGTCCTGATGTTATCGGACTGGAGAGGTCGATCCCAGCGTGCGGCACATTTGGGAAGTACCTGGAAACCATACCACGGGTTGATACAAGCCTTATGAGTGAAATTGGGTACCCGGAGCCCTTGGGGGACGTCGATAGCTGTGCTAGCACAAAGTCACACGTCATCGTGGCCGAAGGCTTGAGCTGGCCTTGTTAAAATTGCTGATCATGCTAGATAACACACTCTTTCCCAGAAACTGTAACTAAGGTCTGATCAGCATAGTTGCAGTATAAATCGCAGTTGAGCTCTGTGGGTGTTGAATAAACACAAATGCGCCTGAGCAAGCATCTGCAATAGAGATTAGCTAGCAAGTAGACGGGTATCCTAGAATAAGAATGGCCAGATATACAAGTAAATGTAATTGTAAGGGGTGCCCAAACCGCGGATCGCGATCCACATGCGGCTCGGGTGCCACATGCGGCTCGGGTGCCACATGCGCCTCTGACCTTTAATATGCAGTTGAGCTTCTTTTTTTTTATCACATTTAAAATAAAAGCTAAATAAGGAAAAAAATAATCTTTATAATGATTTACTGGGTATGAATTGAGACCCCATTGGATTAAAACGTAAGTTTAATGTTCATTATTTACATGAGTCGGACGATTGTCCTCATCTTTGTCGCCATATTTGTCACAACGTTTCGGCCGTTGTACGCTCCGGCCTTCTTCAGGTGGTTGGAATTTCGAACTGAACCCTTTATTTCGATCACTGGGGTAGACTGTTCTAGTTCCACGTGCCATGTTTGATGGATGTCAGTTATCAGTTATCACCTGAAGAAGGCCGGAGCGTACAACGGCCGAAACGTTATGACAAATATGGCGACAAAGATGAGGACAATAGTCTGACTAATGTAAATACTGTACATAATACCTCATCTCAGAAATATAGACAGACTTTTAATGTTCATGTTTAGTAAAAAAAATATTCAAGAATTTAAATCTTAATTTTAATGCTAGATCTGAGAGAGTTACTGTTCTTTAGTACAGAAGGGAGAATGGTGGAAGACAGAGGATTAAAGAAATTTCTGGTCAACAAGGGTTACATAGGAATGCCAGACTGAGGTCATGGGTGAGGAGATTAAAGAGTTTGGTGGGAGGGGAGTACGGTTCTCAAACATCTGAGCTTTATCGTATGTGGCTTTTTTAAATTAAGTTTGGCGCCCTTTTTTCTAATCTAATCGTTTCTTTTATTCTCGCCTGTGGAACTCTCTTTTACATTCTTACCTCTTTGTCACCTACGATCTTTAAAAATGTAAAATCAACGCCAATCGCCATCATCTAATTTTCTAAATATCTGTTCTTTTATTGTCCTTTCTCCTCACTAACGACTTCGCATTTTCTTCTCTCAATAACTGTTTGCGTCTTCGTGGCATTATGAAATTGCATGGAATGAAATGATTAAAAAAGAAGATATATATTATTATAAGTTATATTTAAAAAAAGATTTAGTATTTGCAGTTGTTAGGACTGATTTATGGATGGGCATTTTAAACTGTATATCATTTTGCATTCTAGAAATTTTAAAATGTTTTTAGACGTTTTTAAATGTTTTCAAGTGTTTTTTTTTAGATGTTTTAATGTTTTTAGAATCTTTAGATGTTCTTTCAACTTTTTTTTTAAAGATATTTTAGATGGTTTTACAGGCATTAATATGTTGTTTTTTTTAGATGTTTAAGATGTTTTTAAATATTCCAGGTGTTTATTGAATGTTTTAAGATGTTTTTAGATGTTCTTAGATGTTTTAGACATTTTTAGATGTTCCTTTCATCAAAAACACTGTTTTTCCATATTTTTAAAATGCTGCCTGTGAATCAGGAACGATAACACTTACATTGCATTAAATTCTACGGATATTCCAGTAGAAGACAGATCAAGACAAGCCACAAATTCCTGTCCTTTCTAGCTACAAGTAATTTTTTTTCTTTTTTCTATCTCTTTTAATTTCTGTTCTGTTAGTCATTTACACGATTTCGTTAGGCATGTTACTCTCTGTTTTTTTTCAATCTCTCTTGTCTTCCATACGTCCTATAGGTGTCAAGTTTACTTCTTTTTCTAGAAGCTTCTGTATTTTTATTTCTGGATATGCCATAAAAACAGTGTCATCTTATATTGTTAAGATCGTGCCCCCCCCCAATCCGGATAATGTCCTGGTAGGGTCTCCAGTCCACTTCAGTGGTTCCCAAACGGCGTGCCTCATAGATGCATCGGAAAAGGAGAGCCGGAGATAGCAGGTGAGGCGGAATGATTGAAAGTCAATAAGATATTTAGAAAAAGTTTCGAAAAAAAACACATGCCAATTATAAATATGATATCAAAATTTAAATTATCATTAGGGATTACTTGTAATTGCATGCATCAGTCACAGTATAAATCGTTATAAATAATTATTGACTGATTTTATCCTTGTGATATTTTTGCATTATATCAAGTATTAAGAATATAGTAACTAAGCTCCGTAAATTGGAGGAGAGAGTTATCAATGATAATGTTCGGACTTCTAATCTACAGATATGTTCCTTTCATCCTCTATCTGCTTTATTTTTTTTGTTTTTTTTTAATGTACTTTTTATCACATAAAATTTGGTGAGGTACTAGCAAATTCCCATTGCGAAGATGCAACCTAGAGAAAGATAAGTTTGGGAACCACTGACTTTCTGGATAGCCTCGCTGTAGATGTTGAACAGATCTGGAAAGAAGACACTTCCTCATCTTATACCCCTTTCTATTTTAAGATAGGTAGATAGATAGATAGATAGATATGAACAGACTGAGATATATAGATAGATAGATATGAACAGACTGAGATATATAGTTAGATAGATATAAACAGACTGAGATAGATAGATAGATAGATAGATAGATAGATAGATAGATAGATAGATATGAACAGACTGAGATATATAGTGAGATAGATATTATTGTGAGACCGTAACATACCTACGACATGGACTCTTCCAGGACTATATAAAGTATGCGACATAACACTCTAGAGAGAAGAAGAAGATGAGGAGAGAGAGAGAGAGAGTATTATAATACCGTAGTATCAGCCGCGTACGACTACCAATATTGGACACTAGCACATAGTAAGCTCCGCTTACACTTACACTATCTTTGTAACCTTTTTGTTTAATATATCTTTCTTACCTCTAATCCATGTTCCGTGTTTTCCTTCCGTGGTCCCAACTTTGGGTCCACATCAGATATGAACAGACTGAGATAGATAGATAGATAGATAGATAGATAGATAGATGTTAATGATTTGTTTTATTATTATAATAATTATTACATAGATATAAACATATTTTTTAACTTTAGTTTCCTCAATACAAGATACAAGAGCCACTCAAGCTAGAGGTTTATTGAATGAGATTGTTGTAACGGAGGAGGACGTAGGAAGTAAAAAGTATATATTATGATGATATCTAGGATAGATATCGATTGACCCTAGACTTGAAGAGTTTAAGATTATAATGTTTCTCGGAGGCATTCTCCACAACAAGTAACACATCAAGTAACATTTATTGGAAAGAAACAGTCTGAGTAGAACCACACCTCATAAAAAGAGTCGTGAAGGGAGTGAGATGATTTTTTTTTTACCGTGAACTATCTGTGAAGGCCCGAAATGGTGGAAATAAGGAATGTAACTCGTTGAACATTTACCATAGATATAGCAGCATTCTTGGTCTCATCTGATTTTTGTAAAGATAGATCACATTAGCAGGTGTTAGATATTTTCTGGGGCGATACAAGTGTCCGACCATTCATCCATCATCTTTAGCGAAGACATAGGTTCAAACTGATGTCTTCAGTGAGATTTAAATCCAAAAGTTGTTCGAAGGAAAAAGCTTCAGTGGGAATATCACCGCTCATCAGAATTTTTTACAGTAAATTTCTACCTGTACAATGCCCGAGAGGTACTCGAGGTAGAGTGTTACATCATAGTACGAGGCACAGTTTATGCGGATATGTGGAGAATATAACGGTTAAGCCAGTACTTGAACAGGTTAAGATTGTAGTGATCAGGAAAACATCCTCTTGGGAGTCGGTTCCACAGAGCAATAGTTCGAGTGAAGAAGCTGCTCAAATGATATGACGGCGGTTCGCTACAATGAGCGTAGCATGTTAGGTCCTAGCCTAGAACTATGGAAGTAGCGATACGGTAGTGAGAGACTTGTGACGTTTTGAGTGGGGTTACAGCGTGGAAAATAATTTGTCACCCACACGGACGTGGACAAGATTTTGGGCTCTATGGATACTAGAAAGATACTTGACAGTTCATGACCAAATATGATAGCAGATTGGTTTGGTTTGGTTTGGTTTAGTTTACGGCATATCAACCTCAGTGGGTTATTTAATGTCGATAAAATGTTTGTAGCTGGTAATATTTTTCCTTCAAAAATCTATTTTTTGTAATAATTTTTCTTCAAAAATGTATTACTGGTAATAATGTATTGCCAGTAATATTTTTTCTTCGATACATTATTGCCAGTAATAATTTTTCTTCAAAATTGTATTACTGGTAATAATGTATTGCCAGTAATAATTTTTCTTCAAAAATGTATTGCTGGTAATAATTTTTTACAAAAAGTATTTCTGGTATTAAAACCTATTTTTACACTTTCATAGTGTTTTGACCTCAGTTTGTGGGTTAACTATTTACCCATAGCTGAGACCCTAACAGATGCTACCACCCCGGGTGTGAGTGGACCTGGGAACACCAGAAATTAAGAGGTGGTTCCACGCTCCTCAAAACCTCCTGATCAGAGGTCTTGCTGTTGGACGTAGTTTATCAGGACGCGGTGTAGTTTATCGTCATACGCAAGACGCGGATGTAGTTTATCGTCATACCAAGGACGGTGACAGCAGATTGGATCAAATATAAATTTGTGTGAGAGAAATAGAGAAAGAGAGAGAGAGATTGACACTTTATCAACCTTTAGCATGTTATTTAAAGCCAGAAAATATTTTTAGATTGTAATTTTTTTTTCTGATAATAATGATTTGTTAATAGAAGTCTTACTAATTAACCCATAGTGGGGAAGAAAAGATGAATCTGTCACTTTCCCAAGGGTATTTGCGCGTAAATGAATATAACGAACCCAACTGGAATTAGAATTCGGTTCACCGAGTAACAATTTCAAACCATTATCCATTACACCACCCACACATCTAAGCTTACAGCATCTGATATTCGAGATAGTAAACTTAACGACGTATTAACAATGCTTGGTTATTTCATGCTAAACATTTCTATTATTACTTGAGTTTTTCGGTAGGTATAGGTTGGGTTTATACTTGAGCCTATAGGTAAACACAGGTAAGATAGCTAGTTACATAGATAGATAAACATGAGCAGACTGAGATAGACTATTTTAATATCGTATTCTGTCAATATCTAATTTTTAATGCCTCCAGAACTAGACATCTCTATTAATCATCTGAGTGATCCTCTATTTGACTTCCATCAACATGGGCTAAGAGTCTCTGCTGACATGAAGTGGAAAGACTAGATTGAATCCATTGCTAGGTCAGCAGCTAAGAAAGTTGGTTCACTGTGTCATTCGAGACAATGATTTCTCTCCAGAATCTATCTTACATATCTATAAGTCTACCATTCGTCCATGCTTAGAGTATTGCTGCCATATATGGTCCGGTACTCCTGCTATTTAACTTGAGCTCCTTTATGAGATTCAAAGAAGAATCTGCAATAGGTCCTCCTGCTATTTACCTTGAGCTCTTTGATAAAATCCAAAGATGAATCAGTATTATTTAGATTATTATTTAGATTGAAAAAAAATTTTTCAGATAATAATGATTTAATTAACCCATAGTGCGGAAGTAAAGATGAACCCATCCCTTGCCCATATTATTGGTCATGACCTGGCGTCTTGGCTTCAGTCACTTTCCCATCGCTGTAAGGTTGCCTTTTCTATAAATACTTTCAAGGTAATTGTTCGCATGTATTCTTCTCTATGGTACCGAGACTTTTTGAATTTAAGCGCAGTAATAGACCTGGTGTCGAGATCTCATCAATTTACAGTTGAGCTGGTCATATGTAACCGTAAATTTTATGTTCACGGTTTCTTTTTCCGCATTTCTCCCTCGTGGAACTCCCTTTCGGCTCCATGCTTTCCAGCCAACTTTAATCTTCAAAAAATTTAAATTCAATGTCAATCGCTATTTACTGTCCTCCTGATTACTCTTTCCTCTTCCCGCTCATTATTAATGTTTCTGTTCCTATTTCTTCCACACCCTGTAACTCCTTGTGTCTTAGTGGCTTTACTTCCTTTGCCTGGGGTGATACCGATTTTTAAATATATTTCTACCCGATTTTCATTCCTTGAAGACATTTATTTATAACTATCTCTCACAGTTATAGCTGAATATATGTGTGGTGTATATATATATATATATGTGTGTGTGTGTGTGTGTGTGTGTGTGTGCGTTATGTTTAATTCTCTCTCTCTCTCTTTTCCCCTCCCCTCTCATCTTCAATGACTCGAAATAAATGTAGCTTGATAAATTTATTTTTCTAAGGAATTTGCTCGACTTGACATTTTTACAACAGCAAACACTGTGAATTGTTCAAATCTCCTAAAGGAATTACACATTCTTTCGCTTCAGCGTCCATGCCAAGAGCCTTATTTGTTTGGACTAAAAGTAGCCGAGAATGCTTCACTTTGATTGGCTGAAAATCATTGAAGCAGCGCGATCCAGCGTCTTTTCCGTCGTTCCTCATTTGGACTTAATTCTGATTGATGGGAGATTTTCAGTGAAGGATTTATTTTTCGATATCTCTGAAGATGATGGATTTGACCTGAAAAGGATTCTTCGATTTGGGCTTGTTGCTATATTCAGATTGTCATTTCCGTTCAGGACGTGGACGCTTATTGCTCTCCACATCTTCTTGTCTTTCGTAGCTCTTAGCAATGTTTATCACTGAAACGTCCTTACCGTTTACTTTTCTGCTACCAATCACACAAGATTGTTAAATTACTCGAAGATTATACTTTTGCTTTTATTATGTCCAGTGAGTGTCAAATTCTCCAGGCTCTCTTTCCTCATTATATATTCCAGAATTATCAACTAAATCTTTAGTATAACTGTCCATCTTGCTTCAATTTTTCGTTAAAACGTATAGTTTTTTAAGCATTTCAAGCCATTCAGGAGTGCCACTAATACGCAGGTGGTTAAGGAAGATGGAAGTAAGAGAAAAAAATTGGTTATGGGGTCAATTGCCGAAAGGATAAAATGAAGAACGAGGATCAAAGTATCAAAAGATGACGATTGACATTGCATTTGAATTTTTGAAGATTGTAGTTATCAGGGAAGCAAGTAAGAGGAAGGGAGTTCCACTGTCGGGAGGTGCGAAAGAAGAAGCTGTTGGAGTAGAAGAAGCGGTTACATTTAACTGTTTCAACAGAAAAGGGTAGGAACAACATACCAACCTAGCAGTACACTTAAATTCATGTAGTCAGGGCACCAAGGAAAATAGCTTTTTCAGAGCAGTTGCCATGAAAATATTTGTATAAAAACAGAGGGAAGCCATGACACGTCGGTGAGAAACTGACTGAAACCGAGATGCCACATCAAGACCGACTACATTGCATATTTTTTTCGACACCAGGCTATATATGGTAACAGTATTCAATACATGGACGAATGGTAGATTTGTAGATGTGTAGTATGGATTCAAACGAGAAAAACTTTTTAGCACGACACAGAAAACCAACTTTCCTTGCAATAGATGCAGCTGTTGATTCAATGTAGTTCTTCCATCTCAAGTCTGAGATGAAAAGCAACAAAGGTTGCTTGAAGTGGAACAACTACATTGAATCAACAGCTGCATCTAATGCAAGGAAAGTTTCGTCACCAGTCTTCATTGTTATGATGTTTTTTAATATCAATTTAACTTCATTTTTGTTGCTTTTCGTCTGAGCACACAAAGCCAATAGACGCTTTATTATCGTTAACATTATATCACTTGTTTTTATTTTGTCTCTTTCGTAATCTCTTTGTAGATTCGGGAATAATAGAAAAGGCTTTGGACGGATCATGATCTTTTCTGTCTCACACAGAAAGTAGAAGAAGGACTGAAACTGTCCATTGTTAAAAAAAACAAAAAAACTGAAGAAGGTGAGATGAGTGAAAGTACCCAGATGAGTATAAAACAGAAAGGAAGAAATGCCCGTGGGCGAACGATGCTTAAACATTGAAATCCCATCATGGAACATAGAGGCGTCCTGATCCCTCCAAAACTCTTCCACAGCACATACGATAATCATCATTGCTTCTAAAATGGCGACCACGATGGGATTTGATTTTAAGAAACAGGAAGAAACCAGATGGAGCTAAGCCTGGAGAGTAAGGGGGATGAGGTGACAATTCAAAGTCACTGTGGCTGATTCAGCTACTGCAGCCTGAGCAGTTTGAACGGGCGCGTTATCCTGGAACAACAGCGCGCCTAAGCTTATCTCTGCGTGTCGTCTTGATTGTTTCTTTCACTTATCTTAATTCTGATGCATAGTAATGCCTATTAATAGTTTTTTTTCCCTTTTTCAAGTAGTCTGTTATTATTACGCCATCAGAAGCACCCACCCTTGCTAACAGACGCTGCTTGCTTGAACTTCTTCGGGGGTGGAGTACCAGAGTGTTTCCATTTTTTTTTTTCACTCTACGATTTAGATTCGAAGAGGTGAAATCAGGTTTCATTTTGAATTACTATTCTGCAGTGGGAACTCTCAGGGTCAGTCTGGGAGTGAAACAGAAGTATCTTGGAAATGTTAACCTTTTCCAGCTTCTGCTCTGTTATCGGCATTCTTGGGACCCATCTTGCAGACAGCTTGCTTATCCCTAATTTCTCAATATGGACCAAACCAGAACTAATGTCTATGGACTTAGCTATCTGCTAAACAGTAAGACATCTACCATCCAAAACCTTACGTTGAATGGCATCAACTTGTTCATCTGTGGTTTAGTTTTTTTGGAAGACCTAGCCGAGGATCCTCTTCCGTGCTGACCCTCTCTGTTGTAGAGTAATTTTCACAGTGGAGGCTTGTATTTCACTAAGTCGGTCCTAAAAAGGTTCGACGTACAAAACGTTAGGAACTTGAAATAATAGTTAATGACGCAGCAATCTAGTTGTGGTGGTTGATACTTTAATGTCCGACATCGACTGACTCACCAACTCCACTGATCCCCCTGGCGACTGCTACTACTACTTCTTAGTATCTGTGGGAGAGTCTATTAACAATAGAATAGGTATGTTCCGGTATAACAATATCATTCTCTTCAAATCTATTTATCTAAATAATTTAAAAGATCATATATCTATCTTAATAAGTTAAATATTATCTATATATTTATTTATATAATTCTCTTCATATCTCTCTAAATAATTTAAAATATTATCTCTCTATCTATCTATATAATTCTGTTCATATCCATCTTTCTAAATAATTTAAAAGATTATCTCTCTCTCTCTCTATAAATAAATATATATATATATATATATATATATATATATATATATATATATATATATTGTCGAGAAAATCTCCCAACAAAACAATCTAAAGCCATTTCAGGCCGAGGAAAAGAAGCAAAAGCACTTACTTAAGTTGAGAGCAAAAATTTCGAAGCCCGATTCTTCACAGTTGGAGTGGGGGGGGTCTGCAAATGTCTGCACCGTGTTTTCATTAATTTCCTTGGATGACATACCTTTCTTTTTCAGATACTTTACGGTGCTCTGGGCCCTGATGTGTCCATTTTTAAATTTATCGCATACCTCTCACCTTTGTATGGGTATCACCTGTACAGAAATTAAGACTGAAATCTTAAAGTCACATGGCCCAGTGGATAAAAGCGTTAGTTGAATCAAGTGACTTGACCCAAAGAGTTGTGAGTTCAATACCTGGCTACAGCTGAGGTGAACAAAAACTTGAAGTTGAGTTAAAGGGAAATAACTGATACTGAGACATCCAGAAGAGGCGTGGCACGTGGAACTAGAATAATTTATCTTGGTCGACGAAATAAAGGATTCAGTTCGCAATTCCATTCACCTGAAGAAAGCCGGAGCGTACAACGACCGAAAAGTCGTGAATAGGGCAATGAAGTTGAGGACAACAACATGTAAATAGTGTAGATAAATTTGTATTAGTTTTTTTCTAGTTTTATAAGTCGTGATAGTGTGTTGCCACAACAAAAATATTCAGCTATGGCTCTTTCTGGTTGAAGCTTAGAACTTTTTGAACGACGCTCATAGATAGATAGATAGATAGATAGATAGATAGATATGGACCAGCCAACATAGATAGATAGAGAAACAGACAGACATGAACAAGCCAAGATAGATAGGTATTAACCAGCATAGATAGATAGATAGATAGATAGATAATGAACCAGCCAGCATAGATAGATAGATAGATAGATAGATAGATATTAAGACATAAATCTGTATTAGTTTTTTCTAAGTTTATAAGTAGTGATAGTGTGTTGCCACAATAAAAATTCAGGGTAGAGTTTTGAACTTTTTGAACGACCATTGTAACTGATGACTGTTAACTAATTTTCTTTCTCTGGAAATTAGATTCGTTAATAATAAATCAGGATATTTCATTTGGATCATTCCAAGAAGCAAAAAGAAAGCGAAATACCTTAATTAAATATTGAAATGAATTCCTCAAACATCGAGAGAAAAATTCAAACACTGTCATTTATTATTTGGGGTGGTTGTAGGGGGATAAAAATTTAATAACAACGATGCAGATTTGGATATGGCAGAAAAAGTTCAAAGACGAAAGCTGTCTGTGTAGAGCAAAAGGATCTGGACGACTAATAGTATTGGAAGAGAAAGCCGTGTAGTGAATATATTGAAAACCTCTTTCACTTGTCTAGACTATATTGTTAGTCAGATATTTACAACTCAAACCATAACACCATATATATATATATATATATATATATATATATATATATATATATATATACACAGTGCTGTTCGATAAAAGTGACTCATCTAATTTTTTTTACTAAATGTTCTCTTCGATGAAACAAAAGTTGAGCTAAATTTAAAGGATAAGCGATCTAAAATCTGAAGAAGAAGCTTTGAAAGCTCTTTGAATTTACCATTAAGTACTGTCAAGCACCCGTTCAGTATAATGTTCTGGGGATGCTTTTCTTTTTATGGAACTAGTTTCTTAAAACCTATTGAAAAGACCCTCAGCAGCGAGCAGTACAAGAGAATTTTAGAGTCTTGTCTGCTTCCTTCTGCTGAAAGGGTGCAAATCGACCCCACCAAGAAAATCTTTATGCAGGATAATGCTCCCTGTCACAAATCAAAATTGATGAAGGAATACTTTGATGAGAAGCAGGTGAGTTTTATGACATGGGCGCCCTAATCTCCTGACCTCAACCCCATAGAAAACGTATGAAGTAATATATAAAGTACAGGTTCTCGAGAAATCAGTTAAGCAACATGCTCCATAAGTTTTCTATGTGTTTGAGGTCAGGAGATTGGGGCGCCCATGTAATAACAGGTGAGTCACTTTTATCGAACAGCACTATATATATATATATATATATATATATATATATATATATATATATATATATATCTGTGTGTGTGTTTATTTTACAATGTGATTTAGAGATTTAACGGAATCATATGAGGAGTCCTCTCAAATTAACGCCTCTTATTTTGTTATATTTGCCCAAAATTATGTGGGAGAGGAATGTTGGCACAGGTAGAATATTCTCGCCCACAATCTATATTAATTTGACTATGTTAAAGAGAGCAAAATGTTATCAAACAAAAAATTACCTCCGGAATAAAAGAGAACCATTGAAATACATTGATGCTTGTTAAACCTTTACGGAGAGCAAATCATGAATATGAGCACAGTTAATGGCAGTCTCCCAGATTATTTTACTCTGCACAGCTTTCCTCTTTGAACTTTTTTTCTGCCATATCCAAATTTGCATTGCAGTTGGTGCAAGTTTTAGTGAATTCTCTCACAAATGCACACTACACAATCTTGTTTGATTGTGTTCTAGCATGTTCTTATACAAACTATGGCCATCACACTAACATCTCTTCCGATAATAATGGTCGTCCAGATCCTTTGCAAAATCTCCGGGCATCTTTCCTCTTTGAACTTTTTGCTGTCATATCCAAATCTGCATTGCAGTTGGTGGAACTTTTAGTGAATTCTCCCACGAATGCACACCACACGATCTTATTTGACTGTGTTAAAGCAGACTTTAACGTTTTCTTTACAAGTGAATGAATGAAGTTTCTGTACTTGAAAAGAAAAAAAAAACATAAAACCTTAAACAGAACATTTTGACAAGTTTGTAAACCTGCTGTTAAAATTTAAAATCTGAGCTGTGATTATGGAATAGTTCTGTTTCAAATATATATTTGTATCGTCATTATAAATAATGTCAAACAACCTCATTCAGGCGCTGTAAGATTGTTTTGTTTATTATGGTATATCAACCCTTTGTGTCGAATGCCGAAACATAATTTGGGATTATAAAGACTTTCCGAGAGAGTGAATAATGCACTAACAACTATTTTTTTAGATAACAAGGATTTTTCACGCTAAAAATGCCATTATTTAAGCCACAGCTGGGGAAGGAATATCGATTGATATTCTTAGATGTATTTGTGCGTAAGTGGATGTAACGAACTTGACTGGAATTCGGAGTTGATATCCATTACATAACATGCATCTCGGCCACTGGATATCATAAATAGGTGGATGGCACGGCATTGTAATGTCATCGTCGCGAAGATTAGTATAGGGGATCAAATCTATTTTACATACGTAATGGAATTCGTTAATTAATATCAGAGTGAGGGTGTGTGTCTGCGGAAGATTTCTTTGAACGTGAATCTTTTCTCGCGAGCATCCGTGAGACACTCTGTTTTTTCCCTCTAAGGTAGAGCGCTTATATAACTTCCTGTCATTCGGTTGCCCCACGTGTATTATCCTTAGTTCAACTGAGGCGCGAATTTGTAGCAATATATATATATATATATATATATATATATATATATTAAGACATTTTTATGTTTATACATTCTATTTTATAAAAATGTCTTAAAATAATTGTCGGCCTTTGTCCATTTTATAATGTATGACGTCATTTGTTTACATTTGGATAAGCGTCGAGAAGATATGAATGTACGTGAAAAATTCATAGAAGATTGAAGTTTAAAAACAGTAAATTCGACTTTACTAACCGAACGCTCCTCTGTGGCCAAATCGGTTAAAGGCTCGTCAGGCTATATGACGGTTCCGTATAGGATACAGGTTCGATTCCTGTCGGAGAACGAATATTTTCTATGAAAAATTCTCGGATATTCAGGCAGGTAAATGTTGTTTAATACTGTTTATTATAAACAGAGCATTTACTTAAATATTTGTATCTATAAAAAGAATGTATAAACATAAAATTGTCTACTTAAAATAATTGTCGAACTTGGACGAAGTTCGACAATTATTTTAAGTTTATACATTTTTATGTTTATACATTCTTTTTATTTTTTATATATATATATATATATATATATATATATATATATATATATATATATATATATATATATATATATATATATATATATATATATATATATATATATATATATATATATATATATATATATGAGAGATTCAGGAGAAAAAAATTGTCTAGCACGATACGGTGAACAGACTGTCATAGCTGCTGACCTAGCAGTGGATTCAATATATGTTGTCAGCTGAGAATGTTAAAACGAGAAGGCGTAACGTGTCACCTCCAGTGAGGTTAGTATTAGCCATTCTGATAGGAGGTAAGAAGTCGTCTTTCAGCTGATTAATAGAGAGAAGTTTCGTTTTAGAGGCGTTAAAATCAACAAGCAAGCCATTCCTTGTTCCAGTTAACAACAGACTATAGGTCACTTTTTTAGATCAGCGTATCTATTCTCAGCATCTTTCTGTAGAACCACATTTCCGTTGCCTCTAGTTTATTCAAGCTTGGATGTGCGCCAGCGATGGCGTGGATAACGGCACGGGATGAGAAATCGCAGAGCCCAGTTCGAATTTTAGTCGGATTCGTTACCGTCACTCACGCGTAAATACCCTTGATCGATTATGAATCACAAAGAGACATGATCGCCCAAGCGTGTCACATCTGCTGCTACCAACAAGCATTGGGCCAGCGGACTAGGGTAATAATCCCATTACTTACCATGAATCTGGAGGAAAGCCTACGTACAACAAAAGTCATTCGGTGAAAAGAAAGAAAGAAAGAACGAAAGAAAGACTGAAAAAGAGAGAAAGACGGTAAGAAAGAAAAAAGAAACAAACAGAAAGAAAAAAGTAAAGAAGGAAAAGAAAGAAAAGAAAGAAATTTTAATAAATAACAAAGAAAAGAAAGATAAAAGAATGATAAACGTAAAGAAAGAAAAAGAAAGAAAAAGTATAGAAAAAAGAAAGGGGAAGTAAAGAAAGAAAAAGAAGGAAAAAATAAAGAAAGTAAAAGAGAAGAAAGAAAAGAAAGAAAAAAGATAAAAGAAGAAAAAAATAACAAAGAAGAAAGTAAAAAGAATGAAAGAAAAGGAAAAGAAAGAAAAAGATGAAAGTTAAGAAGGAAAAAAACACAAGAGAAAGTAAGAAAAAAAATAAAAAGGAAGAAAGAAAAAGAATAGAAAGAAAGAAGAACAGAAAAGAAAGAAAAAAGATAAAAATAAAGAAACAAAAAGATAACATTGAAAGTAAAGAAAGTAAAAAGAAAGAAAGAAAATTTAAAGAAAGAAAAAGAAAAGTTAATAACAAAGAAAAGAAAGAAAAAAGAAAGATAAAAATAAAGAAAATAGAAAAGAAAGAAAAAGAACGAAAGATAAAGTAAAGCAAGATAATAAAAAAAAGACGTGTTAAACATTTTTAGTTACGCTAATTTAAGCTTGGCCAGTTCCTCGATGGGTGACCACTTGAGAATATTAGGTGCTGTAAGCTTGGATGCATGCGGGTGACGTAATGGCTCGGGATGAGAAATCGACCAATTCCAGTTGAGTTCATTACATTCATTTAGGCTTAAATACTCTTCAACTATCATGAATCAGAAAGAGACATGATCCCCCAAGCGTGTCACATCCGCCGCTATCAACACGTATTGGCCCAAGCGGTAGAGTAATGACCCATTAATCTCCATGAATCTGGGGAAAGCCTGCGTATAACAAAAGACATTCACAAAGTGAGAAGAAGAAGAAGAAGAAGGAGATTTTTTATTATTATTTTCGACTTTTTTTGCATTTTATAACTTTCTGTGATTAAGTATTTTCTATAGTCTTTCGATTTGTCTCTAGCATTGTGGTTATTAAAAAACAAATTTCAGCCGATACATTCTTCGGCTTTCCTGTCAGGTTTTTTTCTAATTCCTTCATCCTTATTAGAAAAGCATTTTTTTTTAGCCGATATACACTTTGATATGGCTTTCTGTTAATGGTATGAAGTTCTGACAGGCAACATTTTCATTTTTCTGTAGAGTTTTTTTTTTATTTTCTTCCATTTTTATACTTTCAGCACAAAATTTCAGTTAATAAATTCTTCATCGTTCGCAATCTGCCGGGCGTTAGACGCACTTAAGTATAACCAAAGAATATATGAGCCGAAATCTTGTGTTAAAGATAACAGAAAAATGCCATATTTAGACAAATATATGGAATGTCGAAAGCGCTTCAAATCGGAACATCAGAATATCTAAATGTATAGGATTATCCAAAACAGCAGTAATGGTCACTATTTACATTATTCGGACTATTGTTCTCATCTTTCTTGCCATATTTATCACAACGTTTCGGCCGTTGTACGCTCCGGCCTTCTTCAGTTGGTTAGAATATCGAACTGAACCCTTTATTTCACTCGCCCTGTTCTAGTTCCCCGTGCCATGTCTAATGGTGTCAGTTAGCAGTTATCTACTGTTCGCCACTGCCTTAACCAGGTATTGAACTCAGCACTATTTGGGTCCTGTCACTGGATCTAACCAACGCCTTTATCCATTGTATCATGTGTCCCTAACGACATCTGGGACTTATAAACTTAATGTTTTCAGTATCCATTTCTTACCAGTGCTCATATTGCAATCTTTTGCTGTTATCATTCACGTTTTTACCAGAGCTCATATTGCAATATTCTTTGTTATTATTGCTTTTCTTTGGCACTCCTTTTTACTGGTTCCCATATTGTATTCATTTCTATGCTTGGTCGGCTCAGGAGATTTTTGTGACCAAGCATATGTGCTGATTCCTTAAGTTTACGAATTTTCCTTAATTTTACGAATTGTTCTTTGTCTATGATTTCAACCTGATCTCACAGAGAGCGGTGATCTCCCTTTTTTTCTCCATATGCGGTCAGCCACGTCTGATTTTCAACTTCCCCTCGTGTTACAGTTAAAGAGTTCTGAGTTCAATACCTGGTTAAGGCAGGAGATAACTGATAAATGACATCCATTAGACATGGCACGTGGAACTAGAACAGTCTACCCCAGCAAGCGAAATAAAGGGTTCAGTTCGACATCCCAACCACCTGAAGAAGGCCGGAGCGTACAACGGCCGAAACGTTGTGATAAATATGGCAACAAAGATTAGGACAATTATCCGAATAATGTAAATAGTGTACATAATACTTCATCGCAGAAATATAAGCAGATAGCAGTAATGGTCTTTATCGTTAGATGGCGTTAGAAGCGTTTAGTTTTAACTAGATTAGTTCCAAAGGATCTTTCTTGGTTAATTTGTGACGGTTATCATAGCAGTGTACAATCTTTTTTAAATAGTTAAAATTAACGTATATTTGTTTATTGATGTTAATAGCGTAGATGAAAAAAAAAACACTTTTAGCATTTTTTTTTATTTTAACAAAAGTAAAAATTCACAATCAAACGCCAAAAATACTTACAGTTTGTTGAAAAAATGTTACGAATTATCGACCTTTTGAAAAAGGTTTTTGAAGCGTCGTACAGGTGGTTTATCCTCGAACAATGGTGCTGAGCTGGGTAGGCAGTTAAGGTTGATAATGGTAAAACGATTGCAAACTGGGTATATATTCCTGCTTGGACTCAGGGCAAATCGAATCTGTATTCCTTTAGCAAATATACTGGGAACGATAGGTAAATTGTCGCCATTTTATATTTTTAATTCCGCGCATGTGCACGTCGTTTATTTTTTATTTTGTCGACTGCACAGTATAGTAGGGTCAGCTGGGCACTGTCTGGGAGAGAAAGAACACCATGACGCAATTCACTCTGCCAGACATTTAGAAACGGCATTCAAGCCGGAAGCTCCAATGGCAACATTTAAGAGTATCTGGGTGTTAATCTGAGAACAGTGCAGAGGATTCAGAAAGAGTAGGATGATATATCCAGTCAACATCATAGTGTTTGGAATGATCATTAGTGATGGCGACGTTATGCCACTATTCATCTTCCCACAGGGTCTTAAACTCAACACGGAGGCCTTCATCGAGTGTCTTGAGGAGGTACTGCTCCCCTGGTCCAAGAGGATAGCTAGTGAAAGACCCTATGTCTGATAACAGGAGAACCCACTCATAACTATCCATACTGCAACCCCCTTGATGTGTGGGGCGCAGTTGAGCAAGACAACAACAAAACTCCAAAGATGAACTGAAGGCAAAGATTACGGCAGCATTCACCAACTTAAACAAGGTGACCATCCAGAAGAGTTGCAGGAGATTCCGAAGTCGTCTGGAGGTCATGGTTGAAGCCAATGCCGATTTGATTGTGTTGTGGAATCCGGGATGAAATCAGGTCTCAAATGAATGACAAACGCAGGAATGAAATGTAGCAAATAAATGTATTGACGTAATAATACAATTGGTAATACGGTTAGTAGATCCAGAAATGCGGTTAGTAGCAATTATAATATATATACAGTCTGGGAAATTCAGTATCGAAGTATGACTTCCTTCTGAGTCTACGTGCTCGCAACTGTGACTCCTACAAAGCGGTTACCTCACATTCTTACTCTCTCACTTCTCTCACTCCCGGTTATTCACCGGCAGCAGTACAAGTACACACTGGGTGAGTCCACTTGTATAAAAAGGGGTGGACCCCTTAACAGATTGAATAAATTTACTCTTTAGTATTTCAAGGTATTTTTTGTCATGATGTCTGTTAAAATGAGATGTCAGTGTTATTTTCATTTTTACGTAATTTTGGACAATTTGTCCATCGCACACTGTATTTGAGATTAAATGAGCCAGCAAAGTTTAATATGTCGTTAAATTTACCAACTTAAGTTATTTATTACTGGAATTTTTAAACTTCAAGCGGTACGTTAGAGAAGGAAACATCTAAGGTTGTTATGCGACTGTCTCACAAACTTTAGTTGGTTCAAGAGATAAGATACTAAATTCTCTATTTAATATAGAAATAAGAAAAAAATACACTATTTGCATTGTAATCCTCATCTTCATTGCCATATTCACGATCTAGCCTTCTTCGGGTGAATGAAATTTCGAACTGAAACCTTTGTTTCTTCCACCGGGGTAGATTGTTCTAGTTCCACGTACCATTCCTCTTCCAGATGTTTCAGTGTCAGTTATGTCCTTTTAACTCAACTCTCCAGGTTTTTGTTCGCTTTAGCTGTAGCAAGGTATTGAACTCATAACTCTTTGGGTCAAGTCACTGGATTCAAACAACGACTTTATCTACTGGACCATATATCCTTGAATATGGAAATGATGAGGCCACCGGTTCGAACAATGTAAATAATTAAAATACTACTCTCAGAAATATAGACATATAAGAAATATAAAATTGAGTATATTGTCCTATGAAGTATATAATGATTGTGAGCCAGTCGTAGGAGTCTATATGAAACATTAGGTTTCAGAAAGGCACCCTAAATAGCGAAAAGAAACAAAGGCAGCTTAGAGACCGAGAAAATGGCCCTTTGGAATTAGAAAGTTTCATGCTGATTTGGAATTTATTTGGAACTGAGCGCCTGATTGTCAGGAAGTAACTTGAATCCTAAAGGAGACAGATAAAATGTCTGATGGAAAATGCAAAGAACTAAAGCGATTTCTTTTGTCCTCTGAGTTGCAAATCAGGCGCATGCGCGGAGAAGTGACGTCTTTCCATCTTGTTTTGTTGCTCTTTAGTGAAAATATGTATAGAGTTTAGGAACTGGAATCTTCCATATCTTGTCGTTTCGTCGAATTATTCCATCTGCAATAGGTCGCTCGACTCATCGTTTGTCCATAATATCGACCTCGTAGCGTTAAGTTAATATTGAATGCAAATTAATGTACGATTTATCGATTATGATCATTCTAAAGACAGACGGATTCCAGTAAAAGACAAATGGTCTGAACACAACTTAGATAAATAGATATGAACAGACAGATAGATATGAATGGAGGGAAATAGATCAATGCGACGAGAAAGAAAGAAAGAAAGAAAGAAAGAAAGAAAGAAAGAAAGAAGTGAATCACCTGACAAAGACAGAAGAAAGAGAATGAATAAAAAAGAGGTCAATCAAATAACAAAGAAAAAAAAGAACGAAGAAAGAAAGAAGTGATTACATGGAAAGAAAGAAACAAACAAAAAACAAAGAAAGAAGTCTATGAAGAAATAAAGAAAGTCAAAAATAAGAAAAAATGAATTATTGCTTTACCAAAAAGAAAGAATAATGAAAGAGTTAAGGGAATCATACGAAAAAAAAAAGAAAGAAATAAAACGAAAGAAAATGAATTACATGAAAAAGAAAGTATAATGAAAGAAGCAAGGAAATCATTCAAGAAAGAAAGAAAGAAAGAAAAAATGGTGGAAAGCAAAAAATGTATAAAATAACAAAGAAAGAAAATAAAGAAAGCAACGAAACAAATGACAAAGAAAAGAAAGAATGATGGGAATCACCTGAGAAAAAAAAGAAAGAAAGAAAAAAGTAAGAAAGAAAAAAGAAAAAGAGATAGAAAGAAAAAAGAAAGAAAGAAAGAAAGAAAGAAAAGAGAAATAAAGAAAAAGAAACAAATAAAGAAAAAAGAGATAGAAAGAAAAAAGAAAGATAGAAAAAAAAAGAGATAGAAAAAAGAAAGAAAGAAAAGAGAAAGAAAGAAAAAGAGATAGAAAGAAAAAAGAAAGAAAGAAAGAAAGAAAAAGAGATAGAAAGAAAAAAGAAAGAAAGAAAGAAAGAAAGAAAAAGAAACAAAGAAAGAAAAAGAGAAAGAAAGAAAAAGAAAGAAAGAAAAAAAAAGAAAGAAAAAGATGACTCATACGAGAAAAGGAAAAACAAAAGTAACTGACATGACAAATTCAAAATAAAATGTCAAACAAAACAAGATAAGTACAAAGAATCACAGCCACGTAAAAAGTACAAATAAATAAATAAGACGAAGACAAAGACGACGACGACGACGACTAAGAATGTCGGAAGTCTTTTCTTCCATTTCCCAGACGATTTCAATCCTATCAAAAATCATGCAATGACATATCGACACGCAATGCGTGTGTAGGAGTTCTTAATGCCTACCAAAATGTCTGACTAGGAACGTTTTGTTCACATTTAAAAGTAAAACAATCACGAATCGGAGAAAAATTTATCTGGTTTCGGATATTCCAAGGGAAACAATTCTTTTTTTTTTACTTTGCCTTCTGCCTTGACTTTTCCATATTCATTTTCCTTTTTTCTCTCCATTTTTTCCATTACTTTTGGCTTCTTATCAACGACTATGGCCTTTCTCTTTTGTAGGAGGGATTTTTATTTTTTGGCTTTTCTCATTGATATTATAATTTTCGCTGTGGATAATGCGCAAATGTCTTCTCTGAAATAACCAAGTAAGTTACTGCATGGTTATAAAGTTTTTTGCTCGTCACTTGGTGGTAAAGACATCTCTTGGTCCATCACATCGCATCCCTTCATCAGGGACAGAAGTAGATAGATAGATAGATAGATAAATAGATAGATAGATAGATAGATAGATAGATAGATAGATCAGTCTGAGAGTGAAATTGGGTAGACTTCGATAGCTGTGCTAGCACGAAATCACAAGTCATTGTGACAGAGGGTTTGTTTACATTGTTGATTACGCTAGATAACACGCTCTCTCAGAAAACGGTAACAAAGGTCTGCTCGGCATAGTTGCAGTATAAAGCACAGGTGGGCTCTGTGGGTGTTGAACAAACACAAATGTGCCTGAGCGAGCGTCTCCAATAGGGATTGGCTAGTATATCCTCATATATAGAATGGCCAGCCATTATATATATATATATATATATATATATATATATATATATAGAGAGAGAGAGAGAGAGAGGGAGAGAGAGAGAAACACAAAAAAGAAGCATCATTATCAAGAAAAATAGTAAAAAAAGAATAATAGAAAATGATTGATCGATATTTTTATACAACCGCTTTATTTTTCCTTGAGAAAAAGGCGATGGTTTTCATAGATATTACGTCGAATTGGACAAAAGCGGAAAGCAGAACAAGTAGGCAAGTACAGACGATAAATCTAAACTTACAAATGGCGTTTCTCTCCCTCCTCCCGACACACATTCACACGCGCACACTCACTTACACACACACACATATATATATATATATATATATATATATATATATATATATATATAATTGTAAATAAAGTCCAACGTACTTATGTCCGCCCACGACTTCATATATTGAACGCAACTTTTTTCCCTATTTTTATTCGTTGCTTTTCATTAAATCACACTCTATTAATGTTTTCCCTTTTTCTTGGGAAAAGAAACTTAAAATCATAAATTAATAAGCAAAAGTATTGAAACTGTTTCGAATTGTCAGCATTCATTTTGAAAAACGCGAGAATGAACTGTAGAATTCATTAGCGTCGAAGGAAAACAGACGTCCATTTTGAAAAATGCACTGCGTGATATAGTCTCTTAATATGTAAATAATCTGAAAATGTTATATTCATGTCTATTGAAAAATTATTTTAAAAGTATTTAAAATAGAACACTCTTATATACAATAAAAACAACATACAAATCACACATATATTATTATTATTATTATTATTATTATTATACGTTATTTATATAGACACATATTTCAGGGACCATCTCCCACTGGCTAGGGAGATCTCTTTTCAATCTCCTGACAATTCATACATGTGTCTCCGTCTCTCTCTCTCTTCAATGCTGTATGCTACCTCTTCTTCTTCCATCGTTCTCCATACTCCCAAGGCTGTGGTGTTCTTGATAACATTTCCGATAATATAGACAGGGCTTTCTTCATTTATTTGCACATATTTTCGTGTTCGATGAATTAATGCCCACCATATCAAGTAATTGACCTTTTTGGCATACAAACCCTTAACTTTTCAATTACTCAAACCCTCACACAAATGGTTGACTTTCTTAGACGTTTCCCCAATAACCAGGACGGTAGGGTTTCCCTTCTCGATCTCTGTTTTACCTCAATCCTCGAGTCTTGTCGTGCCACGCCGCTAGGCCCTCTTGGCAATATTGATCATGCCGTAGTGTCTGTTAACATTTCCTTCTGCTCCTCCCTCAGTAAAGACCCCACCCCACACCATCAGAAAATCTTTTCTGTTACTCCTGCCTCAATAGCAAATCTGGCATCGCTGACAAAACTAACCAGGCCGTTGGTCCCGAAAAGGAACTCCAATCTGCAGTTGACTGGGGCAGGAAATGGCTGGCAAACTTTAATACCTCAAAAACAAAACTGCTCCCATTTTCCCACCACAGAGAACACCCCTGCCTCCCATTAAAATGCCTGATGCTCAATTCTACGGGAGCACCTCTTTGCGACTGCTTAGTCTCCCGCAGTCCTCTGACCTATGGTGGAACAACTACATTGAATCAATAGCTTCATCTACCGCAAGGAAAGTTGGTTCTCTGTGTTGCGCCAGAAAGTCCAGCCTTCAAATCTATAAATCAATCCTTGCATGGAGTACTACTGCCATATATGATCTGAAGCACCTGCTGTTCGTGTCAAAGTCCTCGATAAAATTCAGAGACAGATATGCAATGTGTATGATCCTGGTCTGGCATCTCGCCTACAGTCATTTTCTCATAGAGGTACCGTCGCTTCCCTCTGTCTTTTCTACAAATACTTTCACTGTAACTGCTCCGACGAGCTACTTTCGCTGGTTCCCAAACTGCATGAATTTAAACGTGCTACTAGGTTGGCATCTTAGTCCCAACCTATCACTATCAAAAATGTGAAATGTAGCCGTTTCTTTTACTCCAATTGCGTCATGTCTCGCACTTCCCGTCTGTAGAACTCCCTTCCTCTTACTTGATTCCTTGACAGTTATAGTCTTTAAATATTCAAATGTAATGTCACTCGACATCTTCAGATGCCTTGATCTAATATCCGGTTTTCTTATTACTCTTGCTCACACTCTCTGTAACCCCTTGCGTGTTAGTGGCACTTCAGCTTTGCTTGGGGTGAAAAGCTTAAAAAAAGGAGATGCTCTGTTTATAATAAACAGTATTAACAATATTTACTGGTCTGAATGTCCGAGAAATTTCATTGAAAATATGCGTTCAGGCCGGTAAATGTTGTTAATACTTGTTATTATAAACAGAGCATTTACTTAAATATTTGTGTCTATATATATAATAATATATATATATATATATATATATATATATATATATATATATTATGAAATGGATAAATCCGACAATTATTTTAATGTATTTATCGTTATATACATTAAAATAATATTTATCGTTAAATACATTAAAATAACTGTCGGACTCGTGGATATATATATATAATTATTTATTTAAAAATACGATTCCAACGCTACATAAATCATATTTTTAAATAAACTTTTTTAAATAAATAATTATATTTATGCTCTACTTTTGTATCGAGCACTATTTTTTAAAAATAATAACAAAAATACTAAAGAACTTTGGATTATTTACCTAACGAATTCTTTCCTATTTTCTATATATTTTTACACACACACACACACACACACACACACACACACACACACACACACACACACACACACACATATATATATATATATATATATATATATATATATGACGTTACACATTATGAAATGTACAAAAAGTCCGACAATTATTTTAAGATTCTTATGTCTATACAGTCTTTATAGATAGAAATATTTAAATAAATGCTCTGTTTATAATAAACAGTATCAAACAGCATTTACCGGTTTGAATGTCCGAGAAATTTTCATAGAAAACAGGACGAATATTTTCTGTGAAAATTTCTCGGACATTCAGGCCGGTAAATGTTGTTTAATACTGTTTATTATAAACAGTGCATTTACTTAAATATTTGTATCTATAAAAAGAATGTATAGACATAAAAATGTCTTAATATATATATATATATATATAGTCCGACAATTATTTTAATGTATTCATCGTTATACGCTTTTTATATACATGATTTTTTTTATTCATTTATTATGATACAAATATAGTTTTAAGGTATGCTATATTTATGTGTAAATTAGCCCTTAAATTCACACCTGACATCGAGTGGTACTTGTGCATACGAGCAGTCGCCTTAGATACAGGTAAAATTGTTTGTTCCCTGTACCGCTCTAGTAAGTATATGAGTGCTATCCTCTGTCTTTACAAGAGCCAGATCAGACCAAAAATGGAGTCCTATTGTCATATATGGACGGGAGCTGCCCAAACTGCACTTTCCAGCCTCAATAGAGCCCAAAAGTGCCTCCAAGCCCTTGTGGATGACGTGTTATTTTCCAACCTCTCTCTCACAGCCGGGATGTGGCAAGCCTCTCGCTACTTTCACGGAAAGTGCTCGGACGAACTATATTCCCTGGTTCCGCCAATTCAAACCTTCACGGCAAGGACACGCCATGCCATTTACATAATAGCAAACCACCCACATTCCCTCTGCATTCCATCGGTGAGAATAAGGTTCCACTCGAACAGCTTCTTTCTGCGAACCACTGTTCTGTGGAACAGACTCCCAGGAGGATGTTTCCATGATGACTACAATCTTAAAACTGTTCAAGTCTAAGGTTAATCGTTATCTTCCTTTGCACCATCTCTGAGGGAAAGTTCTGATAGGATAAAATTCAATACAGCAGTTGCACGTCTCAATAAATCCTCCTTCATACCGTGTAAGGACTCGTAGAGCCAATCCACTGGCAAAATGCAGCACATGTTTGTATTTAGATCGAAAACTTAGTGATTGAAATCCAAATATTTTTATGGTGGTCTCATATAGAAATAAGAGTAATCTTGTCTATTTCTTTCTTTTTTCGACGTAGGACACACGTAACATTCTGTCGCTTAGTTTGACAAACAAACAACCAAATTTCCTCCGTATTCTATCGGTGTGAAATAAGTTCCCCTCGAACAGCTTTTTCCTGCGAACCACTATGGAACCGAGTTCAAAGAGGATGTTTCCCTGATCACTATAGTCTTAACTTTTTCAAGTCTAGGATTAACCGTTATCTTCCTCTCCTATCTGTACAAACTGCCTCCTAACGTAACCCTCTACCTCAAGTGAACCCCATGCCTTGTACAGAGTGAATCTTCCTGTAAAAAAAAATAACATGTTTTCATTTATGTTCAACCCTAGCAGAGACATGGTTTTATCTGCTTTGTTTAAATTGCAAGAGAATTGAAAGGCGAATTGTAATTATAATTTACTTAATTTAATAAGTGTGACACTGAGATCCGTAGGCGTATTGGGATGGCCAAGGCCAAGGACACATTCTAAAAGCTGGGTAGAATATTGCGAGACAGTAGGATATCTTTGGTAACAAAGAAAAGAATACTGAGCTGTTACGTGACATATGTCCTTCTTTACGGCAGCGAATGTTGGACGATTTCCACAAAGATGAAGAACAGACTCGTGGAGACAGAGATGAGGTTCTACAGAAGGATGATAAACATATCATGAACCGAGGAACGATGGGATCTTAGAGAGGTTCCAAACAAGGATGAGGCTTATACTTAATATCAGAAAGAGGCAGCTGAAGTTTCTGGGATATATAATGAGGAAATAGGACCTGGAGAATTTGATAATCACGGGTCTAATAGAGGGAAAGAGAGACAAGGGAAAACAACGTGTGACATATCTGAGAGACTTAAGCAAGTGGATGACAGAACGTGATCTGGGGGAGGAAGTAGAGGGAACGAACTTGTTGAGAGCCGCAAGGGATAGAGGGAGGTGGAGAGCCATGATCGCCTACGTCCTGAAAAGAAAAAAGAAAGAAAGAAATGGAATTCTAGAAAAAGTGATAAAAAAGCATCAATACTCACAAGACGTCCTTACCATGCTTTCATTATAATTTCTAGAAAAGTTTACAAAAGATATAATATTAATAAAAGATATTTTAGAAAAAAAAATACACCTACTCTCATACGAAGTCCGTACTATGCCGTCATTATAATTTCTAGATAAATTTACACAAAATTTAAAGATGTAATATTAGTAAAAAGAAATTATATGTATTAAAAACTTACATATATTAAACATTTAAAGACATAATATTAGTAAAAGAAATTCCAGAAAAGGTCACATATCCGTACCAGACCATCGCTAGAATTTATCAGTGGTAGCTGGAGTGAGAAAAAAAGGAAGAAAAAAGCATATTCTTTAATGAGAAATTTCGACTGTTTTAAAATTAACGAGAAGAAACGTGACTAGGAATTTTCTGCTGTAATTAGAAATGTTTTCACTTCTTAAAAAAATGCAATTCTGTGTTTCCCGGATTGTGTGAAAAAAAAAGCTGAAATAAAATACAGCAAATACAGCAAAATTGACAATTGAATTCTCCTCAATTTTTGTCATGTTAGGACATAAAAAACAGATTTGAGAAAAACTAAAACTAGAAGATTCGTTCAGCTGTTTGACCTGGAGAAAATAATTGTTTCTTTATTGTTTTTTATGATTTTTTTTATATAATTATTGACACCTATGAGTACGCATGTCATGAAAAGCAATGTTTTAGTGTATGTATGTATGTATGTATGTATGTATCTCAGTCTGGACGCATCTATCTATCTCTATTTATTTCACTATCTATATACCTATGTATCTATCTACGTATCTATCTATCTATGTTTATATCTATCTACCATAGTCTGTTCATATTTTCCTATCTCAGTCTGTTCATATCTATGTCAGTTTCTATCATCTATCTATCTATCTATCTATCTATCTATCTATCTATCTATCTATGTCAGTCTGTTCATATCATATCTATGTTAGTCTGTTCATATCTATCTCCTCTCTCTATATATATATATATAAATATATATATATATATATATATATATATAAATATATATATATATATATATATATATATAAATATATTTTATATATATATATATATATATATATATATATATATATATATATAGATAGATAGATATACATACATACATACATACATATATATATATATATATATATATATATATATATATATATATATATATATATATGTATATAATTGGTAAGTGTATTTTTATATAATTATTGACACCTGTGAGTACACATGTCATGAAAAGTAATGTTTGAGTGTGTATTATTTATCTATCTCGCGATGTAGCAATATATATATATATATATATATATATATATATATATAAATGGAAAGCGCATTTGTTCACTGGACGCAACCAGATGATTCATGTAGAATTAGGCAAGCATCTTCATTGAGAGAGGACGGGGTATTGATTAAAAAAAACAGGTTTCTCGTGGTGTAAAGAGGAATATGGCTCTATTTATATACATTTATGATTTTGTTTTATGCGAAAATATATTTCTTAGTAATAAATAACCACTCATAACAGTTTTATTAAAGACGATACATTTTCTCTTTGATTGTTAAAGTTTGGATACGAAAAATGGTTACTAGCTTTGCAAGAAGCAATTGCAAAGAACTATTTTCCCTCCAAATGATATTTTTGAGTTCTCCTTACGCGTCTTCATTATAAACTTGCCAAAAAAAAAAAAAAAAAAGAAAAAGGAATCTATTTTGATTTATTTTTTTTTACTTTTCGCTATTAATTGCTTTTCGCTGGTACATTGCATGACCAGGACCACTGAAAACGAACATTGACACAAATTAATGCAATAAGAAATATTTAATTAGCAATAATAATTTTAAAATGGGCATTTGTTACTTCTTTTTAGTGCCATGCCATTTCAAGACGCTTCGAGAACAAGGCTCTCCTCTTCTTCCTTTTCTTTGATCTCGGAATTAATATGACTTCAAAGGAAAGATAATGAGGTAGTTTCTCATTGCCTATCTTGTTATTTAACCCATAGATATGAATCTTTTTTTAATTCCATGACACAGTTTTGTGTAACTTAACGATGCCGGAAGTCACACTAACCATTATAAATTTCTTTTTTTAGCTTTTTTTGTTTTGTTTGTTTTAAAATCATTCCATATTTATTTTTTATTAGGTTTATTATTATTATCAAATTGGGTACGATATATAAATATATATATATATATAAATAAAAAGAAAGAACAGTAAGATATATAATCCGGTGTTCTTATAGATATTTTTATTTTTACAAAAGAGTGCTCAATGTAAATTTAAAAATTTAATGCAAAAATTCGCTTGAGGGTGAAATGGAACTAATGCTTTTAATTTAATTGCAAAAATTAAATTCGAGGCTTTTAATTTTTGAAACATTTAGAAACATGGTTTTAAAACAATTGATTTAAACATATATATATATATATATATATATATATATATTATAATATATTGATTTATTAATATATATATATATATATATATATATATATATATATATATATATATATATATAAAAATTAACTAATTTAAAATATGGTTCCTTCACTACACAGGAATTACCATGTTTCAAAAACAAAGTAAAAAAACTCCAAATTTAATTATATAATTAAATTAAAAGCATTAGCTCTTTTTCATCTCAAGCGCATTTTGGAATCCCATTGCCTATATATATATATATATATATATATATATATATATATATATATATATATATATAAATATATATATACATTCCATATCGAAAAATTTTTACAAAATTTGTGGGTGGGTTCCTGACACCAAAACAAGGTAAAATGTTCATATAGACCTATGTCCAAAAGGCCATGTAGAATGTGGTCAGGTGTAACAGGAAATCTCGCTCTTCCTAGATTCAGTTTGTTGCACCACAGATCCTGTCTCAGCAACGCGACGATAAACAGCAAGAAAGGTTGGATGACTCGGCTGCCTTCGGTGTGGAAACGCAATCTGATACAGGCTCGCGTCCATTGCCATTCGCGCGGGCGTATGTAATGTAAAAATCACATCTGCCTGCTCACGACACGAATATCTTAGCATTGTTAAATGGAACGCCTGTCAGTTAAGACAGTACGACACACGTTAAACGTTGAAGACCAAATAGCCACAAATATACTTTAATCACGAGAAACACCTGCTTAAGGAAAATGACTATGAATCATTATTTAAGGATGCACACAAATACACATACACACATTTATTTATTTCGTTTTGGGATCTGATGAAGCCTTAAAAAGCGAAACACAATAAAATTTAGTTTCAATGAAACGTTTTCCATTTGTCATATATATATATATATATATATATATATATATATATTTGGTAAGAGTATATATATGACATATCTATCTATCTATCTATGGTAGTCTGTTCATATCTATCTCTATATATATAAAATTCTCTATATATATGTATAAATATCTTTATATATATATATAGTTACATATATATCTACCTATATATATATATATGTATCTATATCATTTATCTATCTATGTATCTATCTATCTATATATATATATGTGTGTGTGTGTGTATATATAAATATATATATATATATATATATATATATATATAAATTGGTAAAATGTAGTTAAAATTTTAACTTTCATTTTAACTACATTTTTATGGATTTTGTATTTTCATATAATATATTGAAGAGTATTTTCATATTCTGATGATTTAATGTTTGATTGTGTATTATCTATCTCGCTATATAGCAATATATATATATATATATATATATATATATATATATATATATATATATATATATGTATATATATATATATATATATATATATATATATATATATATATATATATATATATATTTGTGTATTTAAAAATAGGTCATAGAATCGCAACAAAGTTTTTCAGAAGGGTTCGATGAGGATTTACTTTGGATTCATTTCGGAAAAGACTATATGAATCTTAAATGAAGATTGCCGAATTTCTTTTCATGCTACTCTGTTTATTATTCTATTTAGCATAATTGTTATTTGTATCGAAATTGAAATCGGTCATCCGACTTCAAATTTCGGTCTAGTCATATTCCCTTCTCTGTATGCCCTTGAATCTATTTCGTCTCCGTACTTACCGGTTATATAGTTGGGTAGACTGATCTCTCTAGACTTAAATCTAACAACTTTAATAAAACATGCTACGTAAAAAATCCACACAAGTTTTGTTTTGACGTCTAAATTAATCGTTTAAAATCTGATGAAAGTTGTTCAAAACAAATTCGAGTTATTGAGGTTTATGTGATTTTGAATATACCTTGAGACGGACTCTAAAACGGATTCCTACAAATCTTAATTGGGATCCTTGCGTGGGTCCCAATTAAAAGCAATGGATCTAGTTGGCTTGAAGCCAGCTCTGTTCCTCTCGTGTCTAATATTGTGTCGGCTCTAAAAACGATAAAACTCTCCATATAACATAAATACTTGTATTGGAAAAAGAGACATTTGCACATGTTTGACTGTCTTTCTCATTATGTGAATGCCTCTTCCTCTCTATCACCCGCCTTCTCCTCCTCCTCTCTCCTCCCTCTCTCTCTCTGTCTCTATGTTTGTATTTCTATCTATCTACCTTTATTTATAACGAGTCTCTTACGCGTTATGTCTAGTCACTTAAATATCGTACTTGTCGTGTTAATCTTTCGTCATCTCACTAATGTGTCCTTCAAGCTTTATTGACAGTTAAATTCGACGTGTTCACCTCACACTTGTTGAAGTTTTGCCAAACAGAGAAGATCTTCTAATCGTGTAGCAGAACTGATTGACAGATAAGACGATCACCCCAGAATGCATATAGCCAAGTAATGACACACAAATAATGGAAAACATTTAACGAAAATAATCGCTTTACTAATAACATATT